CCTTATATTGTACCCATACATATATATAGGCTGTCATCATTATCCCTCCTTTATTTAACTATATCCCGTATCATAACATTTCCCCCCTAATAATCAAAACTTAACTGTATCTAATTTAGTTCTTTTTTATTAACCTTTGTATATAATCCAAAAGGATTTCTAACCCAAAGGGATGCAACTTGAAAAATCCTATACCGGTAGTCCTCCAACAGTTCATTTTAGCGATCATTTAAAGTTACAACATCACTGAAAAAAATGATTTATGACCATTTTTCAAATTTACGACCCTTATCAAAATTCAGACAGGTGGCAACTGATTTGTATTTATGATGTCTGACTGTCACTGGCCTAATATGAAACCATCTGGTGCGCCCTGGGTCCAATGAATGAAAGGCTTGGCTGAAACTGACAATTTACATTCGTCTCTTGGTTAACAGTACTGTATCACGGCAATCTCTACGGTGTCCTTGGTGCGCCTGCGCAGAGCAAAATAACAGCGAAATTACGGCTCAGCTCCCACAGGGGGCGCTAGAGATACGGACGCGTCCACGCTGTTAAAATCAGAAAAAAAACACGTTCCTGATAAAAGTACCCCAGAGGCTTTGACCGAACAGTAAATCGTGCGCATGCGCAAACAAGAATAGCTGCACTGAAAAGTCACCGCCACTGCGCCTGCGTATACTACCGGCTGGCTAACGATACATCGGAGTCTTGCCTATATTATCAAGGCGGTTCTTTTGAGGGGGAGTTGCGCCTGCGCAGGACAAGGGTGAAAGGTTAACAAGATGGCGCTGCCCATGATCCCAAAATGGTGATTCTTTTCAACGTGATCCGGTGATCTCTCCAGGCAAGAGATCTGAGATGGCGCTTACTGGCTGCCTGACTGCCTTCCAGAGAAGGATCTGCGTGATATATGTAGGATCCAAGAAGCAGCTCCTTCAGCGACCTACAAGCAAGGACTTCAGTGGCGGACTCTGCACAAGGCGGCTGTCTGGGGGATGTTTGAAAAGAGGACGGGCCTCCGGGGTGCTATCCTTGAATCCTTCCCCCCATGGTCCCCCCTGGTCTTTCCTCGGCCTTCCCCTCGGCCTCTTCTTTGAAGGCCGGCATCGCGGCTTCGCGAAAGCTGCCAAGCCAAAGAGCGTCCGGCATGCCAAAGCCGCCGACGAGGCTGCTCCCATTTTCCAATATGTGGGAGACCGAGCCAAAAGGAAGGACCGGGTCTTCGTGTGTGGCTTCACCTACTCGGGGGCTCTGGGCATCCCTTCCTTTATCGTCCCGGATGCAGGGAAAATTCGAAGGCGGATCCAACCCACGCCTTACCGCCTGGACATGAACGAGAAGGTGAGAGAGGGGAGAAAACTTCCTGCTTCCTTGGAGTTGGGTCGTTTCAAGAATAAAGATGGGGTAGCACCTACTTCAAGTTGCCACTGAAACCCCAGCCAAAATCAGACCCAATAAGGGTTGGGATGGGTGACCACTATCACAGAAATCACAGGAAAGCCGGTGTAAGCTCTTTGAGATAGTCTAATTGGGAAACTAAAACAGGAGTACTATTACTTTTGTGATAGTAAATACATTTAACAAATAAATAATAGATAGGATCTTGAAGAGATCTCTGGTTCTCCCTATTCTATTATTTTCTTCTATTTCTTTGCACTGTTCATTTAAGAAGGCATTCTTATCTCTTCTAGCTATTCTCTGGAATTCTGCATTCAATTGGATGTACCTCTCTTTCTCCCTTGCCTTTCACTTCCCTTCTTTCCTCAGCTATTTACAAAGCTTCCTCAGACAGCCATTTTCATGCAAACTATTTATAAACTATTTAACTTAGATGCAGAGAACATCATGAGAAAGGCAGGGTTAGATGAATCAAAAAATGGAATTAAGATTGCCAAGAGAAATATTAACAACCCCAAATATGCAGATGATACCACTCTAATGGCAGAAACTGAAGAGGAACTAAAGAGCGTCTTGATGCTGGTGAACAAGGAGAGTGCAAAAGTTGGCTTGAAACTCAACATTAAGAAAAGTAATATCATGGCATCTGGCCCTCTCAATTCCTGGCAAATAGGAGAAGAAATGGAGGTAGTGACATATTTTATTTTCCTGGGCTCCAAGATCACTGCAGATGGGGACTGCAGCCAAGAAATTAAAAGACACTTGCTCCTGGGGAGGAAAGCTATGGCAAATCTAGACAGCATACTAAAAGGCAGATACATCACCCTGCCAACAAAAGTGCATATAGTCAAGGCCATGGTTTTCCCATTTGTAATGTATGGCTGTGAAAGGTGGACTATAAGAAAGAAACGCCAAAGAATTAAGGCATTTAAACTATGGTGCTGGAGAAGACTCCTGCGAGTCCCTTGGACTGCAAGGTGATCAAACCTACAGTCAGTCCTAGAGGACTGCTCTTTTGAAGGCCAGATCCTGAAGATGGCAGGATTGAAGTCAGTGTGAAGGCAGCTTTTGATATCTCTGATCAGCATTCCTATACTTGAAAATGCAAAGGAGAAAAATAAGTGACTTTTTGAGTTGCTGAATGAGAGCCTGATGAAGTTTCTGTATACAGTATTCTTTGCTTTTTTCTTATTCAGAGAGTTGGTTGACTTCTTTCCTTTTTTGACATTAGAAATGCGGAATTTGTGTTTTCTAAAAATAATATTAAGAGTGTCTTTCTCGTTATACATGATAATTAGCCTGTTAGCTTTGATGAGAATTAGGATCCAAAAATAGTGAACTACAGGTTCCCCATCTTTATTGTATGCTTGTTTATACCAAATTGCGGCTAAACTGCTTATCTATTGTTTTAAAGATTTCTTCTGCTGCCTGTGGCTACGGGTTCACACTTCTGTCATCCAGAACAATGGATATTAACAAGATCTGGGGAATGGGGCTGAATAAAGATTCTCAGATTGGATTTCACAGGAGCAGGAAAAATAAAAGTATGTAAAACTTTGCTAACTTTAAAAGGCTGCATGCTATCCTTGTTCTTTTACTCCCATGCTTTTAATGAATTATTACATATTTATTCCATCCTTCAGTCATCTTCTCAGAATGCTTGGCAGAAAAAAAAGTGAACTGTTAAAATTATACAACATTATAAATAAACACGGATAGTGAAGTCAGGCTAAAAAGCAGTCTTTAAATTTAAAATTAATATCTATAATTCTCAAAAGATTGGGAAAATTATGTAAGCTGCTTTGAGTTGCCATGGGTGAATAGGCGGCAATATATATTTAATAAATTAATAAATATATAAAATGTCTTTGCATGGCATGGAAAACCATTGGGCAGTTGTCTGGCAAATCTGTTGCAGGCTAATCTTACATTTGGACCAAATAAAACATTTGGCATGACCCAGTAAATCTTTCTATGGGTGGTACCTACAAATAGAGCATGTGTTCAAAAGTATATGATTGGGGACAGTAGTTGTCCTAATATAGTTATTGGTGGTCTTGTGGAAACATCTTTCTGCCTTTTATTACAAGGCACTATGCTAACTATGAACAGCCCACCTAGAATGGGTCTTTTAAAAAAAAATGTGCATGCACTGGTGGTGACTGTGTGCCTAGCCACAAATAATAGTAATTATACCATAAATTAAAGGGAGTTTGAAAATGAGCATCTTGAAATAATTTAAATCCATTAATTGTGACATTTGTTAAGTGTTAGTAACTTCTGTAGCATATTAAAGGTACTCTCTTTGTAATACATTGAAAATACATTGTCTGTTTCTTTATTTTTAAGCTAAAGGCTATGAATATGTCTTGGAGCCAAGCCCTGTTCCCTTGCCACTGGCCAAGCCACAGCACAGCAGAGTTTTGCAAGTATCTTGTGGGAGAGCACATTCTTTGGTGTTAACAGAAGAAGGAGGTTTGATGGTACTTTTATACTTTATAGAAAGAGTCTGACACTAAAGTTAATACATAACCTTGTCAACTTATGGGAGAGATGGGCAGCATAAAAAATAAATAAACAAACAAACCTGTCAGGTTTTTAAAGTACCAGTTTAAATACACCAATGTGGTGTAGTAGTTAAGTATTGAGCTGTGACCTGGGAGATCCTGGTTCAATCTCATCCTTAGCTGTGGCTGTTCATTGGGTGATGTTGGACCAATCGTTCTTTCTCAGGCCAGCCTATCTCATGCAATTGCTTTTCTAGAACTTAAAATAACGGGAGCTCCATAGCCATCTATTACCAGCCATAATGATGTCAAAATACCATCGGGTCAAAAATGATACAAATTGTTCAGTTGTCTGAACAATTCTAATATTCCATAAATTGCGCAGTGATGTCATGTGGTTTCCTCATTTGTGGATACCTATGGAGAGATCTCTCTCTCTCTCTCTTAGGCTCCCAGAGGAAAGATAGGATAAAATTATAAATTTGTTGATTCATGAACAAGTGGCTGCATTATTGCATCATGGTAAATTATAATCCAGAGTTTAGCAATCATATCATCTGGGTTTGATATTGTGCTGAACCAAAACCAAACTAAAAGCTGTAGAGTATGGTAAAAATAAATGCTTAGCATTAGATGTCATACAAACTTGGACAGATTAAAAATTAAGCTGGGTAGTGGTGAATTTATGTTCAGTACATCTTCCCTGATTATGGATTTTAGGATGTCCATTTTCTCAAACTTTTACTGGCAGTGGAGAAAAGGGATGGTTAATTTATTTGACATGTTACATCTTCCTTAACTGTATTTCCAGAACCAAATTCTCAATGTCTTTGTATGAAAATCTATATTTAAATGAATTTAAATGAACATTGTTCTTGGAGTATTTGAAAGAAAAAAAATAATTGCATGTTCCCTTTCCATATTTATCAAAAGGAAGATCTTTTGGTGGCGCAGTGGTTAAATGCAGCACTGCAGGCTACTGCTAGATCAGCAGGTCAGTGGTTCAAATCTCACCGGCTCAGGGTTGACTCAGCCTTCCATCCTTCCGAGGTGGGTAAAATGAGGACCCAGATTGTTGGGGGCAATATGCTGACTCTCTGTAAACCGCTTAGAGAGGCCTGAAAGGCCTATGAAGCGGTATATAAGTCTACTGCTATTGCTATTGCTATTGCTATTGCTATTGCTT